GGAGCATGTGGCCTTGCTGGTTGCCACCTTCCCACCAGCCTGTGTTTAGCCTTAAAAAGTGAATTTCTTGGGGCTGGCCCGGTGGTGCAGCAGTTAAGTGCACACGCTCCACTGCGGTGGCCCAGGGTTCACAGGTTCGGATCCCGGGAACACACCGACGCACCACTTGCTAAGCCATGCTGTGGCGGCGTCCCATATAAAGTAGAGGAGGATGGGCACGGATGTTAGCCCAGGGCCAGTCTTCCTCAAGAAAAAAGGGGAGGATTGGCATCGGATGTTAGCTCAGAGCTAGTCCTCCCCACAAAAAAAAAAAAAAGAAAAAACTGAATTTCTTTTCCCTTGACTGTCTGGACTTTTCTGGTTAGTTTTTATCTTCAGCCTGAGTTCAGCCTTGTGAGGCTGAATCTTGATGTCTGGGCCTTGACTTCCTGGGAAAGACAGCTCACCCATATACTAAGGAGGAACAGAAAGACCTGGTTAGTTTTAACAACAGCTGATTATGCTGAATATGCACAGCTGCAGTTAGCAAAGCTTATCTCAAACTTTTTACTCTAGTGAAGATGTTTTTAACTTCTTCCTTCTTGTTTTCACTGCTGCTGGCTCTGCAGCCTCTCAGGGCTAAAGCCTTGTGTTTTTATAAGACCTTGGAGCTGGACAAATGTTCTCCTAACCAGCTTTTCTAGGTTTGTGACTCTGTAATCTGTGGCTCTGTGAGTCCAGGCTGCTCATTTAATTTCTCTCTCTTGGCCTCCTTGCCTATAAAATCAGGAATAATAGCACCTCCCTCAAAGTTATGAGACTGAAATGAAAAGGGCTTATGTGGGAAATATAAGGAAACTTAAAGCAGCACAACCTCCAGCCTGGTGGGCATCCAGTAAGTCAACTCTCATTTTCATCCCATTAATGCTGTGATTTGGATTTTTGTACATTAAATTCTTTTTTTGTTGTTTTTGAGGAAGATCAGCCCTGAGTTAACATCCATGCTAATCCTCCTCTTTTTGCTGAGGAAGACCGGCTCTGAGCTAACATCTATTGCCAATCCTCCTCCTTTTTTTTTTTTTCCTCCCCAAAGCCCCAGTAGATAGTTGTATGTCACTGTTGCACATCCTGCTAGTTGTTATATATGGGACGGCCTCAGCATGGCCGGAGAGGCGGTGCGTCAGTGCGTGCCCGGGATCGGAACCCGGGCCGCCAGAAGCGAAGCACGCGCACTTAACCGCTAAGCCACGGGGCCAGCCCTGTACATTAAATTTTAATTTCACTGTCTCAGGCTTTACAAAGACATTTTAGTGTGAACACTGCTCCAAAAATGCTAGTTCACCCTCTCAGTTTCCAACTCATTTTTTCATACCCAAATTTTTCACCTACTTGATTTAAGTAGGGGGGTCACCTATATTAAAGAGCCCACCTAGTCTCTAAATTTGTCCTGAAATCTTAGGAATGCAAGCAAAGGCACGCCAGAGAGGAGCCAAGAAGGTATGAGTTGAATGTAGGCACACTCTAAAGATGCCACAACATCAGTAAACTTCCCCAAGCCCACAGGGCTCCCACAGTTTTGTAAAGAATATTCAGCCTCTTAGACTAGTGGTTGGAGCTGAGAATCCTGTGTCTGAAGAAATCAAATTTTTAAATTTCTGCTGTAAACTGTCCCACAACCGTTCCAAGTCCCACAACCCTGTAAACTCTAAGTTTCCCAATTTCTACGGTAACTGGTTCCATTCTATTGAACTTGTCGTTTTAAACAAAAACAGTAAAAAATCAGCCCAGGTTCCAGATTAGCTGAAATACAGCTGGTTTCAGCGATGGAGAAAAGAAAGAATCCCAATACCAACCAAGCTGTCAGCCAGAGCTCAGGCCAGGCGGTCTTCCTCGGAGCCCCTCAATTCACAAGGCACAAGATGGTAAATTGCCATCGTTTCCCTTTTTGGCCCACTTCTGTCACTTCTTATCCACATCCTCAACTCTTCTCTTTTAGTTGAGCTTGCCACTGAAAATTGGTTTTCCTCTCTGTGTCCTTCAGGATGTCAACTCCAGCGGGCTTAAACTACAAAGCAGACTGGGCAGCTCAGGCGCTTGATCTGGTCGCGTTCAATGGGGGCTCGGCCGGCTCCACCCTCTCCGTGGAGTTAACGCTCCTGGCGCCACCGCGGGACATCCTGGCGCCCCACATGCTGTCTGCTGCTGCTGCTGGCTTCCCGTGACTGCAGCAGGTCGTGAAGTCTCACTAGTCCTTAAACGGGAATCACCCCAACTGCAGATGGGCGGGGAACGTGGGCCAGGACCCTCAGCGCATCCGCCCACCGTTCCCATCCCCTCCCGCCCAGTGGCCTCCCCTCAGCTGCGGGGAGGCGGGACCTAGAAGGGTTCGTCCATCAGAGACCCCGCCTAAACAGTTGGGCTGGATCCTGTGACCCGGTTGGACCAATGAAAACTCGAGCGCGGATTGGCCGTGGTCTTCTGGGAAGGCACCTCCTCCGGAAACCACCGGCTCCTTTGAGCCACACCTGGGCGGAGTCAGCCTCCTGGGCCGCCGTCCCACTGGCTGGCACAGCTGCCCGTCACGGGGAGGGCGGAGTGCGTGGGGCCAGGCGCTCGCGTGGGCGCGGAGCGCGGCGGCGCGCGGGAATCGCGCGGGCCG